AGCTGCTGCTGCTGCTGCTGCTGCTGCTGCTGCTGCTGCTGCTGGGGGGGCAGGGAGGCCGGGTAGTTCGTGTGGTCGTTCATGGGGCCGGCGGGAGGGGACGAGCAGCAGCAGCAAACCGACTGACTGCAGCAGCAAACGAACTGCTGCAGCAAGACTGCTGCAGCAGCAATTCAAATTCTACAGGACGCAGCAGCAGCAGCAGCAGCAGCAGCAGCAGCACACGTCCTAGGGGCCCCTGGGGGCCCCCCTGCAGCTTGCGTCAGGGACTTGCTGCAGCACACGCGTTATTTGGGGGCCCCAGCAGCGCAACACGAGGTATGGAGCTCGCAAACCCCAAATTAGGGTTTAGGGTTTGGGGTTCAGGGCTAGGGTTTAGGGTTCAGCCGCTAGGGTTTAGGGTTTCGGTTTGGGGCCCAGGCCTCCAAACCGCAGCTAGCTTTCTGCTGTTGAGTCAAGCTGCTGCTGCAGCAGCAAGTTTGGCGTTTAGGGCCTAGGGTTTAGGGTTTAGGGTTTAGGGTTTAGGGTTTAGCGCCCAGCGGCTAGGGTTTAGGGTTTAGGGTTTCGCATGCAGCGGGCTGTACCACGAGCTCGGCAGCTTTTGGGGCTGCGCTTCCTTTTCGCTGCTGCTGCTGCTGCTGCTGCTGCTGCTGCTGCCAGCAGCAGCAGCAGCAAATAAGTAAATAAATATAAATTAAATATAATAAATAACTTTTTAAATTCAATTTAATTTAATTCCCAGACTTTCCAACTCCCAAACCCTCCACCTTCCCACTCCTGCATGCAGTTCAGGTGTACATACACCTCAACTCCCAGTACCCACAGCTTCTCGGGGGCCCCACAGCCCAGCACTTGTGGGGCCCCTGTGGGGCCCCAGCTAGCCACAGCTAGCTGGGCCACGCCCAGCTAGCTAGCCACTGCTAGCTAGCCACGGCTAGCTGGGCCAGGGCGAGCCAGCTAGCCACAGCTAGCTGGGCCACGCCCAGCTAGCTAGCCACAGCTAGCTAGCCACAGCTTGTTAGCCACAGCTAGCTGGGCCACGCCCAGCTAGCTAGCCACAGCTAGCTGGGCCACGCCCAGCTAGCTAGCCACAGATAGCTGGGCCACGCCCAGCTAGCCACAGCTGGCTGAGGCAGGCCCAGTTAGCCACAGCTAGCCACAGCTAGCCACAGCTAGCCACAGCTAGCCACAGCTAGCCACAGCTAGCCACAGCTAGCCAGAGCTGGCCACGATGAGCCCGGCAGTTTGAATTAGGGGCTACCAAGGATTTTAGCTAGCTAGCTAGCCAGCTGGCTAGGTAGGTAGCTAGCTAGATGGCCAGCTAGCCAGCTAGCTAGGTGGCCAGCTAGCTAGCTGGATAGCTAGCTTGCTGAATGGCTCGCTATATTGTTAGCTAGCTGGCAACCGAACAAACCCCGAGATCACTAACCAACTAAATACCCAGCCACCCAGCTAGCCAGCTAGCCAGCTAGCCAGCTAGCCAGCTAGCCAGCTAGCCAGCTAGCCAGCTAGCCAGCTAGCCAGCCAGCCAGCTAGCCAGCTAGCCAGCTAGCCAGCTAGCCAGCTGGTGGGCAGGCAGGCCAGCTAGCTAGCTAGCTAGCTAGCTACCTAGCTAGCTAGGTAGCTACTATGGCGTCTCCCAAGAGCTGTAGACTGCTGCTAAGCTTTTGCTGTGGAATTCTACCAAAGAGGAACAGCAGCAGCAGCCACAGAAAGCAGCAGCAGCAGCAGCAACAGCAGCAAGAGCATCACCAGCAGCAGCAGCAGCAGCAGCAAACGCAGCAGCAGCAGCGGCAGCAGCAAAAGGCAAAAGAGACCTAATTAGACACCTGTTTAAAGCCCCTTGTTGCTGAGCGTGAAGAAGCAAGAAAATAAAAGCAGCGGCAGTAGCAGCAGCAGCAGCAGCAGCAGCCGTTGCTGCTGCTGCTGCTGCTGCTGCTGCTGCTGCTGCTGCTGCTGCTGCTGCTGCAGCAGAGCCATTTTGGCTTCTGCGGCAGCTCAGCAAATGGCTGCGAGCAGCAGCACGCGGTGCCGCTGCACACTGCTGCTGCATCTGCTGCTTCTGCTGCTGCATCTGCTGCTGCATCTGCTGCTGCATCTGCTGCTACTTCTGCTGCTGCTTCTGCTGCTGCATCTGCTGCTGCTTCTGCTGCTGCTGCTGCTGCAGCTTCTGCTGCTGCTTCTGGCGACTTGCCAGCGAATTGTGATTTATTTATTCTTCCCACTCGCCCTCATCCTCCCATTCATCTTCTGCTGCGCGGAATCTGCTGCTGCTGCCTCTGCTGCTGCTGCTGCTGCTGCTGCTGCTGCTGTCGTATTGAATATGTGGGGTTGCTGCTGCACTCTCTGCTGCTGTTCGTGATGGTGCTGCTGCTGTTGGTGCTGCACCTGTCCTAATCACGCTGCGTGGTGTGTTGGTTGCCACTATTGGTCTGCTGCTGCTGCTGCTGCTGCTGCTGCTGCTCCTGCTGCTGCTGCTCCTGCTGCTGCTGCTGCTGGGAGGCTCTTCTTCTTCTTCCTCGAAGTCAAATTCTTCTACTTCGACGTCCGTGCTGCTGCTGCTGCTGCTGCCGTGTCTCCTTAGTTCATTGCTTCTGCGGCTGCTGCTGCTGCTTCGGTTGTTGCGGCTGATGTTGCTGCTGATGTTGCTGCTGCTGCTGCTGCTGCTGCTGCCACTCCCGTCCCATTCTCTTCTGTAGTAGGCCCTGCGACGCGCACGAGAAGGGACTGGCGCAGCGCTATAGCTGCTGCTGCTGCTGCTGCTGCTGCTGCTGCTGCTGTCTGCTGCAGCAGCAAACACCTGCCCCCCTCGCCCCATTCCCCGGTGGCGCCTCCTGCTCTCTCTTTGCTGCAGCAGCCGCACAGGGGGTTTCCCCTCACCTGCTGCTTCTTGTCTTGTGAGTTCTTGCTGCTTCTCTGCTTCCAGTTCTTGCTGCTGCTGCTGCTGCTGCTGCTGCTGCTGCTGCTGCTGCTGCTGCTGCTGCGCTGCTGGCTCCTGCGGCTGCTGCGGATGCGGCTCTGGCTGCTGTTCGTGCTGCTGCGGCGGCTGTTCTTGCTGCTGCTGCTGCTGCTGCTGCTGCTGCTGCTGCTGCTGCTGCGAGTATTCCGCTATGTCTGGCACGTCAATTATGCCTGTAATTCTCTCCTGCAGCACAACTTCTTGCTTCATTTGCTGCAGCTGCTGCCGCATCATTTGCTGCCTCAGCAGCTGCGATGACTGCTGCTGCTGCTGCTGCTGCTGCTGCTGCTGCTGCTGCTGATGCTCCTCCTCTTCTCCGTATGCAGAGTAAACCTGGTCTTGGGGGGACGCAGCAGTACTTTCGTACTCACTGTAGAGCTGCTGCTGCTGCTGCTGCTGCTGCGGCTGCTGCTGCTGCTGCTGCGGCTGCTGCTGCTGCTGCTGAGGTTGATAGAAGATGTGCACACGGCCTTGCTCGTGGCGGTGCTGCTGCTCTTGTTCGTGCTGGTGCTCCTTCTGCTGCTGTTCATGTTGCTGCTGCTGCTGCTGCTGCTCCTGCTGCTGCTGCTGCGGCTCATGGGCATACTGCTGCACCTCCTCGTGCTGCATCAGCAGCAACTGCTGCTGCTCTACATGCTGCTGCAGCAGCTGCTGCTGCACTTCTGCCGGCACAACTCCCACAGAGTCCTCAGGACTGGCCTCCACCAGCACCTCATTGTATTGCTGCTGCTGCGGCTGCTGCTGCTGCGGCTGCTGCTGCTGCTGCTGCGGCTGCTGCTGCGGCTGCTGCTGCTGCTGCTGCTGCTGCTGCTCTTCCTCAGCAACATATTGCTCTGATAGAAGCTGCTGCTGCTCCGGCTGCTGCTGCTGTTCTTCATGAGCTGCAATCTGCTGCTGCGGCTGCTGCGGCTGCTGCTGCTGCTGCTGCTGGGGCTGCTGCTCTGCAGCTACAAGATACTGCTGCTCGAGCTCTGGTTGCTGCTGCTGCTGCTGCTCTTCTTGCTGCTGCTCCTCAGCAACGGCATAGTGCTGCTGCTGCTCTGGCTGCTGCTGCTGCACTTCAGCAACGGCATATTGCTGCTGCATCTCCGGCTGCTGCTGCTGCTCTTTGGCAACGGCATATTGCTGCTGCAGCTCCGGCTGCTGCTGCTGCTGCTCTTCGGCAGCGGCATATTGCTGCTGCTGCTCTTCTTGCTGCTGCTCTTCAGCAACGGCATATTGCTGCTGCAGCAGCTGCTGCTGCTGCTGCTCCTCCTCCCCCTCAGTCATTACTACATACTGCTGCGGCTGCTGCTGCTGCTCCTCAGCTTCCAGATACTGCTGCTGCAGCTGCGGCTGCTGCTGCTCTTCTTGCTGCTCTTCAGCAACGAGATACTGGTGCTGCTGCGGCTGCTGCTGCACTAGCACGTAGTGCTGCTGCTGCTGCTGCTGCTCTTCTTCAGTGACCAAGACATACTGCTGCTGCAGCTCCAGCTGCTGCTGCTGCTGCTGCTCTTCTTCCTTAGTCACTTCTACGTACTGCTGCTGAGGCTTTGTTTGCTGCTGCTGCTGCTGCTGCTCTAGTTCATTGACCACGGCATACTGCTGCTGCAGCTCCGGCTGCTGCTGTTGCTGCTGCTGCGGCTCCTCAGTGACAACAACATATGCCTGCTGCTCCTCTTCAGCGACAACGGAGTACTGCTGCTGCAGCAGCTGCTGCTGCTGCTGCTGCTGCTGCTGCTGTTGCTGTTCTTCTGCCTCGTGGTACTGCAAGGCAGGCGCTGTGTCTTCTTGCTGCTGCTCTGCTGCAGCTTGGAGAGCCTGCTGCTGGTAAGCGCCAGCAGTAGTAGCAGCAGCAGCTGGAGTTGCTGCTGCTGCAGCAGATGTAGCAGCAGCAGCAGGAGCAGCAGCAGCAGCAGGTGCTGCAGCAGGAACCCACGGGGCTGTTGTGAGGCCCAGAGTCTCAGCCAGCCTATTAAGAGACTCTGCAAGAGCAGCAGCACTCACGTCGCTGCCGAGCAAGCGACTGATGATCTCATGCTGCTGCTGCTGCTGCTGCTGCTGCTGCTGCTGCTGCTGCTGCTGCTGCTGCTGCTGCTGCTCCTGGGGGCTGTATGTCTGCTGGTTGTACTCCTCATGTGTCTCTTGGGTTTGCTCTGGTTGCTGTGCGCCGCGCTGCAGCTCTTGCTGCTGCTGCTGCGGCTGCTGCTCGTGCTGCTGCTGCTGCTGCTGCTGCTGCTGCTGCTGCTGCTGCTGCTGCTGCTGCTGCTGCTGGCTTTCAGCTTCTGCCACTAGGCCTTCGTAGAGGGCTTCCATGTGCGCCTCTTCGTTTGGCTGGCTGGGGTGCAGCAGCAGCAGCAGCTGCTCAGCTGTTGATGTTGGTGTTGCTGCTGCTGCTGGTGCAGCCTCGGGTGCTGCTGCTGCTGCTGCTTCTGCTGCTGCTGCTGCTGCTGCTGCTGCTGTTCCTCTCTGGAATTCCAGCAGTTCATTGATGGCCGGCAGCAGCGACGGCTCCTCTGAATCTACAGAAGGCAGCAGCCCATTTTCTGCTGCTGCTGCTGCTGCTGCTTCCTCCTCTTCTGCTGCTGCAGTAGACGGCTCTGCTGCTGCTGCTGCTGCTGCTGCAAATTCCACTGCCTCATCGAGAACAGCAGAGAGAGAAGAAGGGGATGCATCTGCTGCTGCTGCTGCTGCTGCTGCTGCTGCTGTTGCTCCTGCTGCTTGCTCAGGGACAGGCATACTTGGCAGGGCCCCCGTGGCCTCATAGGCAGCCTCCATATCTGGCGCATGCTGCTGCTGCTGCTGCTGCTGCTCTTGCTGCTGCTGCTGCTGCTGCTGCTGCTGCTGCTGCTGCTCGTGAGACTCTGCGTCTTCTTGGGCCTGTAGGTGAGACATAAGCTCATTAACAGTCTCAGGGACTGCTGCTGCTGCTGCTGCTGCGGCGGATTGCATATCTGCTTCAGCTGCTTCTGCTTGTGTTGCTGCTGCTGCTGGTTCAGTTGCTGCTGCTGCTGCTGCCACTGCTGCCATTGCTTCAGCTGCTTCTTCGGCAGGTGCTGCTGGCTGTGCTGCTGCTGCTGCTGTTTCTGCTGCTGCTGCGATCACTGCCTCAACTGCCGCAGATAGCGGTGGGTGTTCAATTGTTTCTTGCTGCTGCTGCTGCTGCTGCTGCTGCTCTTGCTGCTGCTCAGGCCGCTGCTGTTGGGGCTGCTGCTGCTCAGGCTGCTGCTGCTCCGGCTGCTGTAGCTGCTCCTGCTGAGGCTGATATTCCTGCTGCTGCTGCTGCTCTGCAGGCTGCTGCTGCTGCTCAGGCTGCTGCTGCTGCTGCTCAGGCTGCTGCTGCTGCTCCTGTTGCTGCTGCTGCTGCTCCTGCTCAGTCTGTTGCTGCTGCTGTTGCTGCTCCTGTTGCTGCTGCTGCTGCTGCTGCTGCTGCTCAGTTGCCATGGCTGCTTCCGTTTCTGCGTTTTGTGTCTCCATCTCTGTGTTTGTTTGTGTGCCTTGAGAAGTCTCTGCTGCTGCTGCTGCTGCTGCTGCTGCTGCTGCAACTGCTGCTGCAGGTTCTTCTGGAACTCTCTCCATGACCACCTGCTGAACTGCTGCTGCTACTGCTTCAGTTGCTGCTGTCTCTTCTCGCGAAAGAGCAGCAGCAGCTTCTGCTGCTGCTGCTGCTTCCTGCTGCTGTTCTGCTGCTTCTGAAGCTATAACCAGCACTGCGTCTGTTGCTGCTGCTGCTGCTGTTTCTGCAGCTGCTGTCTCAACTGCTGCTGTTTCTGCTGCTGTCTCTGCTGCTGCTGCTGCAGCTTCTGCTGCAGAGGCTTCCGCCGCTGCTGCTTCTGCTGCTGCTGCTTCTGCTGCTGCTGCTTCTGCTGCTGCTGCTTCTGCTGCTGCCGTCTCTGCTAGAGCGGGAGAAGAGGGGCTCTGCAGCGCCTGCTGCAGTGCTGCCATTGCAGCAGCAGCTTTTGCAATGGCTTCTGCTTCTGCTGCTGCTGCTGCTTTCGCAGCTTCTGCTGCAGCTGTTGCTGCTTCAGCTGCTGCTGCTGCTGCGGCTGCTGCTGCTGCTGCAGTGTGCGACTCCTGTGGGGCCGCTGAAGCTAGTGCTGCCATGGCCTCAGGAAGCATCGAAAGGGACGTCGCCTGTTGCTGCTGCTGCTGCTGCTGCTGCTGCTGCTGCTGCTGCTGCTGCTGCTGCTGCTGCTGCTCTTCTCTCATCTGTATAGTTTCAGTGAGCTCCGCCAAGACTGCAGCGGGCAAGTTCATTGCTGCCGTTTCTACCAATGCTTCCGTTGCTGCTGTTTCTGCTGCTGCTGCTGCTGCTGCTGCTGCTGGAGTTGCAGAGGCCATCTCAGTTTGCTGCTGCTGCTGCTGCTCTTGTGTGGAGGCAGCAGCAGACTGGCTGCTTGTCTCTCCAGAAGAAGTAGAAGCCGGTGATGGCGTTGCTGCTGGTGCTGCTGCTTCCGTTGCTGTTGCAGCTGCTGTTGCTGCTGCTGTTGCTGCTGCTGTTGTTGCTGGTGTTGCTGCTGCTGCTGTTGTTGCTGCTGGCACTGTTGCTGCTGCTGCTGCAG